AGGCTCTGTTTTTCTTCTCTCTTGTCTGTTTTTTTTCGTTCTCTTTTATCTCTGTTTCTCTGCATAATCGAGCATTTTTGGTCTTCTCAGTCTGTAGCTCTTTTTTTTCCTTTTTTGCATTTTTTTGTGCTCATTTTCAATTGGCGTATGGGTGCTGCATTTCTGCTCTGTTTCTTCTCACTTTTTCCTTGCTGTTTTGCCTGCTTTCTCTGCTATTCCATCTATTGTGTGAGTGCTTTCCTTTGTGTTTTCATCTACTGCATGCATACATACGTCCTTGGTTCTATTTCTTTTCTCCTATTGGTCAAAAGTTTGTGTGTACATGTTTCGATTGCTTGCTGCTCCTTCTGCTCTGTTTTGCTTCTTCTGCACCTGGCCGAAAGTGTGTGTGCTCTACTTTCTGTTTTCTTTTCCCTCATGCAATGACCGACCGAGGAAGATTTTATTTCTTTTGGCTGTCTGTGACTCTAGTTTCATGTGTTCACTATGCACGCTTGCTTCTCCCTGGTCTGCTACTGTGTTTGCTTGCTCTGTGAAGCTTCTCAAGCTCCGTACATACATGTCCAGCATTTTTTAGCCATTCTTTTTTTAATGCTTTTTTCTTTCTTTTTTTTTATTAATTAGATTAAGGGAGAGAAAGAAAAGTCTAATTTTAAATATATATATATATATATATATTAAATGAAAAACAAAAATATTTAAGGAGAGAAATTTAAAAATAGTTGAATCTTAAAAAAAATAATTTTCAATATTTTTGAATGGTTGGAATAATTTGGGAGAGACTTTAAAAGATTTAAACAAGATTTTTTGATTTTGTTAAAATATAATCTTAAAAGGGTTTAAATTTTATTTTTGTATTTTTATATTTTTTAATTATTTTAATGAACTAAAAAATAAAATCCTAACCAAAAAAGATTATCTAAAATAAAATTAAGCCCTATCAATTAAATTAAATTTTTTTGTTTTGAAAATATAATCCTAAAAAGGATTAAATTTTATTTTTATATTTTTATATTTTTTTTGGTTATTTATTATTATTTTTATTAAATTAAAAAATGTCTAAATAAAATACAGTGTTCACAGACCATTCTTCATCTGGACTTAAAATACATTTTTTTAAATTTTTCTTATACATTTTCTCAAAAGTTTATTTTTGAATCAAAACACCTGTAGTGCACAAAACCTAAATTCTTAGGCAAATTTTAAATTCTAATACAATGTGAGTGCACTTTGGCTAATAAAACCTTAATAAATGATCCTAATTGACATATAAAAGTGTATAATAAATATGTTCTATTGCATCATCCAGACATATTTTGAGGAGGGTTAATTTAGTCATTTACCTTGATATTTTAATTTTACTATAGTACCTTTAGATTGTAGTGAAATTTTAGAGTTTATGGGGTTCTCTTTTTTATCAATTATGGTCAATGAATATTTATTAAAAAAATTTCATATTTATTTTCTTATTTATTCTTATATAGGACAGGAAGCATATCACACTACGAACATTTCATTCCTCAATGTCATGACCAACAATTGTGAGGAAACCTTATGGCTAATACATTGAGCATGCACAGCAAATCTTGCTTGATACTAAGTGCACTTAAATTTGCAAACGTCACGATCCTCATAATCATCATAGATTTTGAACTATGGTGTATTTGTAGCATCAGGCCATCAAAGTAACAAGAAATGAAACTTCGTTTTCGATTGAAATTGAATCCTATAATTTCACCACTAAGAAGACAATGCTTTATCGGGTTTGACTTTTGATCACCAACAGGATGATATATATATATATATATATATATGCAATTAGGGATAGGCTTAGAGCGTGATCTAAATTGTCGATCACTTTAACTCGTGATTATCCTTTAAAACTCACCCTGGAATTAGATGTTAACATTACTAGCTCAATTCACATAAGATAAATAAGATCAATAAAGTAATATGCATTTATGAAGAATTTATAACTGATTGCGACTTCTCAATTATCTTAATTATAGGCAGAGTCATAACTCACTTAAACTCCTGTAGTTTGCACAGAGTATAAAGATAATAGAGAGAGTGGAAAATTGAGTGTTTTTGTTATCAACTGATAAACTTATATGGAGAAAATCAGTAACCTCCTTAATAAATAAATAAATCTTTCATTATCCTTGACTCAATCAGTTAAGAAAGAGAAAATAACTGATAGTTATAGGTTTGTAGGTTAAGCCTTTGCTCGTTAGGCTCATTTGTATAATTCATTTATCACAATCTACACAAAATCATTGAATGTCAATCTATTTGGACTTATTAATTAATATAAGTCTACAAATATTTATAAATATTTCAATATCAGATGCCACCAGAAGCGAGCAGACACAGTGACAATACTAGTAGGATGGCTTTGGTGATCAAGAATCCAAACATTGTCTTGGACATCGTGTTACTTTGCCCTTGCTTTCTCACCGTAAATCATTTGCATATAGGCTTAGTTCTGTTAAGATTTTGTTAAGAGATTAGTGCATTTAATCTAAATGAATATGCATGATGGAGATTGGTTTTTTCTTTCTTGTCTGTTTACGTTTTATCTGATTCAATCCAAAGTGAAATTTAGTCATATGATACATGACAATTTTTTTGACTGAAAAAGTTTTAAATGAGTTGAGTTTTTAATAATCATCAGGACATGTCTTCACATTTTCTTATTAACTGAACTAACTTTTATTGGTTTATGATACATGATATTAATTAATTAAAAATAGTAATCTGAACATCTAAACATTAAGGTTGGATTTTATTAAATAAAATCTATCGTACTGGCAAAGTCCACCAGACCCTTACTTGTTCGGGCCAAAAATTCAACGACACCTAATAATAGCCACAACACTAAACAAACGGGATACGAGTAAGCTCGCATAGGCTGGCATTTTTGCAGGTTAGGTTGGGCTAGCCTGCTAGATAAAATAGGCTAAAAAATTCAACCCAACCCATTTTCTAGCGGGTTAACTTGCAAAAATTTATTAATTTTTTTAACAATTTAAAATTTATATAATATATATATATTTCACATTTCAAAGTAAATTAGCAATTAAAGAAATTTTAAATAAATAAAATAAATATAAAATTCAACCAAGCAAATTTATTTTATTAGATTTTTATTATTAATTATCTTCTCGCCTAAGTGTGTTATCCTTCTCACTAAGAAAAAAAAAATTTGAATGTAAAACCATATTATTTTTTTCAATAAATTTATATTTATGATTTCAATCAATAGATCTTATGAAATTAAAAAATAATATATATTCAAAATATTTCTATAAAAACTAATAAATTATCGAATTACAAACTATAATAAAAAATTTATTTGCAAATTATAAAAAATATTTACACTATATTTTAAATGAAAAAAATATATTTGAAAGTTATAAAGTATATATTTGAGAAATATTATCATTATTATAAATTTATAAAAAGATATAATATGATTAAAAAATAAAAAATTATTTTTAAAAAAATATGCTAGCCTGCAGGCTAATCTATTTTAGCCCGCTAGTTTTGTGGATTGTACTAGTCTAGCCCATTTTAAAAAATGAGTTAATTTATTTAATCCAACCCATTAAATTTTGTGAGTTAAATGGACTAGTTTGTGAGCTTAATTCATTTTTTGGCTCTAAATAGCCAGGAGTCATATGGGCCTGCCATTGTCCAATAGCAATTCCCAAGTACTGTGATCCACCAACACTCTAGGCCCATTTATAACCACTTCTATAATTTGTACCATTCTTAGTTTTCCGCTCATGGGCCCATTTGAACCTTTTTCTTTTTTATTTTTTTTACTATACTCCTTTTTGCTTTTTTACAATGTTCCACTCATAGGCTTTTCTTTTCGGCCAACCCTCATAGGCTTATGTCAAAGTGTTGCCAGATTTTATATTATGGCCGAATATCCACTTTCTAGAAGATGTTTTCCATTTTTAATAATGTTTTATTGCATATTAATTTATATAACGAGTTTGGAAGCTAGATGAGAGAATATTTTTCCGTCTTTATTTTTTGCCATTTGAGTTGATAAGAAATTTGTGCTTTGAATTCAAATGAGTATGCATGATGGAATTTCTAACAAGCTGAAGTCCTGTCTTACACGGTTTGGGGATGCTTCTGGCATGAAGATAAGCTCTTCCAAAACTATAATATTTTCTTCTAATGTAGTGTGAATCATAACAGGTGCAGGGATCGAAATCAGCGCGCGAGTTCTTGCGCTTCACTCAAAGTCTCAAACGATGGATTTGGGTATTCGTAGGAAATACGACATGGTACTAAAATGTAAGCTCGTCAATCAGATTAATATGTGCGGATTTAGTAATGTTGCAGGATACTAAGGAATGTGCTTGTTTTTCATATCGCTAAACGCTAATCAACGGTGCCTTCCCGCCTTTCAGACGCGCATTATCCTCTAAGGGAATCACTATTTATATGCGATTCAGACAACATGCATGAAATATTCGTGCTATTAATAATATTATAGTACCATACATATAATTCTTCCAATCAATTAACTAACTAAACATAGGTTAGAATTTTCAACTCTTCCGCGTAAGCTTTAAGAAATTCCCATTAATAATTTTTTTAATTCTTAATTTTTATTTTTTTATTTTTGCTCGGCTGTGTAAGATACATATAAAACCTGAACGTACGTTATGAATTAGTCTTCCAACGGTGTGTATATTTTTAATGCAGTGGAACTGGTTGATGGACTTGCATCCTATTAACTATATCATCCCAAACATAACGTGATCGACCAGTAGAGACTAGAGAAGATCAAACTTCAGCCTTCTATGCATGATAAGAAAAATCCCCTCTGCTCTGATTTTAACCTTTACGCGTGCATTTACAATGTCGTTTTAACAGTATATGTCTGCTCTGGTATAATTGTGAAGGAGAAAAAAATCAGAACACATATATATAACGGAAGATAGAATCACATTTTATTATTTGTAATCCCTGGGGGATGAAAAACAACCAACCGCGATATATAACGTACACAAATGGAGTCATAGATATGTATAAATTATAGAAACACATCTTAATATCAGTCATTCTAATTGCGTGGATTGAAAGCCTTGCAATTCTTCCGAACTTCTCCAGCACTTCCGACCAGAACTTCGACTTTCCCCATCTTTATGATAGCATCCGCGAAGCTCTTGTTAAACTTATCACTATTGAACGCAAGATCAGAGACAAAACCCCTCGTAGAATTGTCCAGTGCAATTCGCTGGTCAAGACGCAGAATGCCTCTTTTGTCAAGTATCTGCTTATAAAACTGGTTATCAAAAATGAACTGCGATCCTTCGTCCAAGGATACAGATGAATCTTCTTTCCCCGCGGTGAGGTTACACGTCCTGACCAGCTTAGCACGTAAAGCTGGGTCCATTGTTGGATCGGGAGGGTTTGACAGTCTATCACTGAAGAAAGCACAGTGGGCAACCCCAACTGTGTGTGCACCCAAAAGGATCACCATTTCCTGCTCTGTGAGTCCCTTTGCAGCAAACCTTTGGGACGCTTCAGAAACTGGCAAATTCGGTCCTGGCAAATTCTCGAACACTTCCTCAAAATCAGCTGACACAAGCCCATCGCGTCTTCCTGTAGGGACCTCGTACTTGGGTCCTCCAGACAAGGCCACGGCATCTCTGGTGGCCAGTGTTATGATGTCCGCGCATGATACTGTTTCTGGACATGCAGCTTCGAGGCTTTCCTTCACCTCATCAATCAGATGGAATCCTCGAACGCTCTGATTCGGTGGTGCGTCCTTTTCTGCTCGTTTGTTCCCAGTGGAGTTGATCAGTATGGACGCATCGCAGCCCTTTTTGAACAAACAGACAGACAATAATGATGAGAAAATAATGCTCATTAATTAGTTGTTGAAGTTAAGAATGGTTTAAAATTAAAATTATCTTACCCTGACAAAACAGTCATGGAAGTGCATGCGAAGCAGAGCTGCCGTTATGGAACTATCACTACTGAATTTCTTCCTCACCACTTGCTGCACAATGGACTCAGCTTGGGCACAAGTTGAGCTATAGAACCCAACCCGAAGCTCGCCAACTGCGAGACGAAGAAGTAGAGCGAAGCAGATCAATATGGAAGGGATCTTCATTTCAGAACTTGTTCTCTCTCTATGAATATATGAGTTTTTGTGCGCTTCACAGAAGGGATTTGGATGGGTATATATAGTGGGAAGAGGGGGTGTGGAGGAAGAAAAACGCGTGAAGATTACCAATGTTTGTTCAGCCAAGAATGGCCAATCGCCCGAGCCTACGAATTGTCAAATAGCAAATTCGCAAGTCTGGCCATTCGTTATTTGTTTCTGGATCCATTGACAAGTTAGGCCCAATTACAATCACATTACAGTTGGGCCCGTTCTCCTTCGCTGTCCGCAGACATTGTCTTTTTTGTTATTTTAGCGTTCACACAAGAACAGGACAAAGCCCAAAATAATAGAAAACTCATGGTGCTTTTCAGAACCAAATTTTGCTGCATAGATACACTCAACATTATCAAAGGTTGTGCCCATTGTTCTAAAAATCGGACCGAGACAAATATTCGGTAAAAATGGAACTTCACTTGGTTTCTTCAATCATATGTATCAGAGTGTGCTCTGTCCACATTTGAGTACAGTAAATAACTCCGAAACAAATATACTTAACCTATTTGAACTACAAAGAAGAGGCGCAAAGCAGTGAGATTGAGAAACAGAACCTGCAACTTATGTGCAGCCCAATTGGAAGACCCAGCACTGAAGTAGGTGTTGGTAGTGCGAACGTGAACTTTGCAACATTATGGTTCAGCTGTACGCGCTTAACAAGTTTAAACTGCTTGAACTTCTCTGGGTCCAAGCAACCTATAACCTCGTGGATGGCAAGATGTGGGTAAAATAAGTCAATTAGATACCAAGAAAAATTGGCGCAAGAAACTCGGGACTTAGTTCCTCAAGTTTTTATAATATATGCAGAGTGCAGTTCCTTACTAGAAGTTGAACAAATATTTTTCCTTGACAAGTCTCATGAAGTAAAGTTGGACATGAAAAATTGGAAAACAAGGCAAATTTTATTTTCTTATTTATTCTTATGTAGGACGTCACTTTACAAACATTTCATTCCTCAATGCCATGGTTGGCAATTGTGAGGAAGCCCTGTGGTTGATACATTGAGCATTCGCGGCAAATCCTGCTTGATGCTCCAAGTGCACTTAAATTCACAAATGTCATGATCCACATAATCGTCATAGATTTCCGACAATGGAGTGCTAGTAACACCAAGCCAATCAAAGTAACAAGAAATGAAATTTCATTTTTTAGTGAAATTGAATCCTGTAATTTCATCGCTACAAAGAAAACACTTCACCTGTATATAATTAGGGATAGGTTCAAAGCGTGATCTGAATTGTTGATCACCTCAACTCATGATTCTCCTTCACAACTCACCCTGGAATCGGATGCCACCAGAAGCATAGACATGGTGACCATACTAGGAGGATGCCTTTGGTGATCATGAATCCAGACATTGCCTTGGACATCGTGCTTCTTTGCTCTTGCTTTCTCGCAATGAAACAATTGTATATAGGCTTAATTGTTTTGAGATTTTGTTGAGAAATTAGTGCATTTAATCCAAATGAGTATGCATGATGGGGATTGGTTTATTCTTCTCGTCTATTTGCCTTTTATTCAATCCAAGGAAAATTTAGTCATGTGCACATGATATTTTCTTGATGAACAAAGTTTAGGTAATTGGGTTTTGAGAGACCACTAGGGCCAAGACACACCTTCACATTAAAGGCTTCATCTAATCCCACAAATTTTCAAGATTTAGACAAAATTCTTATTAATTAGATTAACTTTTATTAGTTCATTATGCATTATATTAATTAATTAAAATCGATAATATGAACAACAAAACATGAAGGCCGGATTTATTAAATAAATTCTGCAGTACTGGCGAAGTCCACAAGACATGTTGGCCCACTTATAAGCACATTACAATTGGGCCCGTTCTCTCCTTTTCCCCTTATGAGCCAGCTCACATGAATCTTCACTCTCGGCAGACGTGCAGGTTTTGCTACTTTTAACGTTCACACAAAAAAAGGACAAAATCCAGAATAAAAGAAAACTAAGAAAGATGGTACTTTTCAGAACCAAGTTTTGTTGTGTAGCTACACTCAACAGCATCAAAGGTGGAACCCATTGTTTTAAAAACCAAATCAAAACGGACTATTGGACTGATTGGATCGCCGATCAAATTTGTTAAGGGGTTGGTTTGGATCACAAAATTATTTTTATAATTAAACCAAATTAAATTAAAATTGAGCCACTATTAAATTAAAAAATAAAATTAAGTTAGGAATTAGAAAGGTTTTTAAAAAATTGAACGTTTTTAAACCAAATTTTTAAAATTAAAAAAATAGATCTCTTTATTTTTTAACAATTCATTTTATATGTATAAAATATAATTTAAAATTATTTTTTTTTAAAATTATATTTTATAATATTGTTAATTAATAGTCATGTAATGTCATTTTATAGGCATATTGTAGATTTGTTTCATGCATTTATTTTATATATATATTAAATATTATTTTTATTTAATTATTACATCACTAGTCTAACTTTTAGTTAGATTATAAAACCTCTGACTTTTCCTATTTAGCATTTGATTCGGCTTTTAAAATATTGATTTAATCATTCACGGGCAAAGCAATACAACTCATTTCAAAATTGATGGAAATGTCTGTAATATAATTGTGAAAACATTGCCTTGAGCTCACGGATGCCTACTCCAACCTTTTTTTTTAACTGTACATACACGATATTACTGATAATGGCTTTAAAAAAATTTACTGTATCTGTACAATATAATAGCCATTTTTTTTAATGTAGATCTACCGTAAAAGTATTTTTATTGCACATGCACGGTAAAAAGCTTTCCGTAAAACCGTTGCGTTTCTTTTTTTTTTTTTTTTTGTTTTTTTTTTGGCGCGGGGTTCCTTGGGGGCGGCAGAGGTATCCAGAGAGAGTGATAGGAGGAGAGATACACATATTGGGGGACCAATACTAACGTGATTTTGTTGTTTTTTTAACCAATGATTATTATTTAAAAAATAAAATTGATACATGAATATTATTTTTTCAATGTTTTAAAGTTCAGTCAAATAGTTTTTTTAATAACACTAACGTTATTAAGATCATAGGATTTTTTTTTTTGGCCAACAAGATCATAGGATTACAATGAAACTTCATAAACTTAAGAAAAAAAAAATGAAACATATTGTGAAGTCCTGATGTCAAATCTTCACACTTGCCAATATACCTAAGCACTACTAGAAAATACTTCAAAAATTTCACCAGAAATCTGAATTAAATAAAATCAACAAAGCGGGAATTCATGAATAAAATATGTCCCATTGACCACTCTCAATGAAGCACAGTTGGGCATGAAAAATTAGAAATTAAGGCAAATGTTTATTTTATTATTATTTATTCATAAGATTGAAGACATATCATATGAAGAACGTTTCATTCCTCAATGCCACGGTCGGCATTTGTGAGGGAATCCTATGGTGTATACATTAAGCATGCATGGCAGATCTTGCTTGATACTCCAAGTGCACTTAAATTCGCAAGCAACGCTATCATCATAATCACTGTAGATAACTAACCATTGAGTATTTTTAACACCAAGCCAATCAAAGTAACAAAAAATTGAACTTTGATTTCGAGTGAAATTGAATCCTGTGATTTCACCGCCACGAAGAACACGTTTCACTGGCTCCGACTCCCTACCACCGGCAACATGATATGTGCAATTTAGGGATAGGCTTAGAGCATGATCTAAATTGTTGATCACCTCAACTCGAGATTCTCCTTCAAAACGCACATTAGAATCCGATGCCACCAGAAGCACGCACAAACACAGTGACAATACTAGCAGGATGGTTTTGGTGATCACAAATCCCAACATCGTCTTGGACATCGTGCTGCTCTGCTCTTCCTTTATCCAAGTGAATCAATTGCATGTAGCTTAATCGTGTTAATGTTTTGTTGAATTTATAACATGTTATGCGGTACATCTTTATTGTCTGTATTACGAGTAAGAAAAAATAGAATAAAAAAAAAATCATGCAATGAACATTGATTCGTTTGATACTATTTCATCCATTTTGATTTTGTCTATAAAAGGAAAAAAGAATTTAAACACCTCTAATTCGAAATAGTAAATATAATCCTTTTTTTATTACTTACTGGTATTGTTGATTTTGGAATCAAGAATTCTTAATGGATTATATTTTATACATGCATCTAAATGGTTCAAGATGTTTCTATTGATATTACCGTTCAAGTCCATTTTCTGAAGGATGTCTCCACTATTGTTCATGTTTTATTGGATATATTCATTCATGAATATTAAGAGAGGTTATTTAGGAAGTCACATGAAACAGAATAATAACTTGCTTTACTATTTTTTCTTCACAACGAATCGGTTATACATGGAACTTTATACTATATATGGTCCATTGATATCCATTTTGTGAAAATGTTTTCTATTTTTGTTAATATTTTATTGCATATTAATTTATATCATGAGCATGGACTATGGAAGGTGTAATGTCTACAACAAAATACACTGTTAACAAAACACTTAACCCCCAATTAACCACTATCATTCAAGTCCGTTTTCTAAAGTATGCTTCCGTCATCGTTAATGTTTTATCGGATATTCATTCATGAATATTAAGAGCGGTTATTTAGGAAGTCATGTAAAACAGAACAATAACTTGCTTTGTTATTTCCTCCTCACAGTGAATTGGTTACGCATGGAATTTTAAACATGGTTGATCGATATTCATTTTGTAGAAAATGTGTTTTCCGTTTTTGTTAATATTTTATTACATATTATATCATGAGTATGGACTATGGAAGATGTAACATGTAATATCGCCTAATGACTTCGTTAACTTAACCATACTAATCATACATTTATCATGGTAATAAAGAATGGACCAAAGAAACTCTTACAATCATAAATAAAAATTCATTTATTTTAAACAGGATCCTAAATTTTTACCTTGTAAAAACATAAAAGATTCAAGTTATAAAACATAAGG